GTGATTGTGAGTTACACTCTGCATTAAGTGATTGTGAGTTACACTCTGTATGAAGTGATTGTGAGTTGCACTCTGCATGAAGTGATTGTGAGTTGCACTCAGCATGAAGTGATTGTGAGTTACACTCTGTATGAAGTGATTGTGAGTTACACTCTGCATGAAGTGATTGTGAGTTACACTCAGCATGAAGTGATTGTGAGTTACACTCTGTATGAAGTGACTGTGAGTTGCACTCTGCATGAAGTGATTGTGAGTTACACTTTGCAAGCGCAAAACGACGAAGCTATTACACAAAAGGGAAACATTAAAACAACATCACATGCCAGGCGACACAACTACCAAAGAGGAGATTCCTCATGCAACACACGTGATGTCCTTGCACAGCTTGTTTGTTGCTCAAGCGTGAAAGTAAAAGACGCAGCCCTGCGTTTGCGAGCTCACGCTCCTGTTGGCTGAAGGTCCTCCACTGAATGTATGTACGTTGAACTTCTTCTGCACCCTACGCAGCCAACCGTGCTCATCGAAGGTGCTGAAGAGGCTGTCAGGCTATAAAGATTCCCTACTGAGGCTCTTTTGGTTTACTCCACAGTTTACCCCCACCATGCCTCCGTACGGTGTGAAAACAGTTCAGCATACATACAAAGACAAAGATCCCCCATATAGCCTTAACATACTGTAGGGGCAAGTGCTGTTAGCGAGCACCTATGAAGGCCGGAACGGTACACGAGGGGGTGGGTGGCCAGCACCACGCCCGACCGCCTTTGTCTCCCTAGTGGCAATGTTTACACACCGCACCAGGTACTCATTTGAGGCTGAGTCGACCTAGGGGAGGCCCGGGACCGGTTCAGATAATCGTCACTGGTGTTGGCCGTGAGCGGGAATCGAACCCGGGTCGCCAGGTTCATAGCGCAGCGCGCTAACCGCTACACTATCGCTCCCCATAAGCATACATACATACACACATACACACACGTGTACCTGCGCGATTGACTAACTGCGGTGTACCCCATTAATGCCGCCATGTGGACAGAAGGACTGGGCGATTTCAAAACGTGGTCGTTGTTTCAGACTGAGTACCCCGGAGCAAAAGTAGCTGCATATGTAGTAGCAAGGGGCCCCGCACTTTCAAGGGCCCCGCGCTAAATGCTTTCAAGCTATCTTATTCCGGTTCAGTGATTCTGCACTTGCTCTATTACTATAGTACTATACCGCCTTCGACTTTTATGAACGACTGGGTGTTAAAGGTTAGCGATTTGTCGTATTAACCTGCTGTACAGCAAATGAAAAAATACAATTACTTTACAATGCAAGTTTAAAATGTGTTTCTTTTTTTTATTTTGGGACCCCTTTATAACGTATGTTAGAGGCCCCGCACTAGCTTAATCCGGCACTAGAACCGGCGCCCATTGCATTGCGTGCGCCCTCACCACCCCCCACCCCCGTGTTGTCCTTCCTCCTGCACCCCCGATCAGAACGGTTGGCGATGCACGGTGTGCGAAAAAAGTTCCACACACATACACAAGACAAAGACACAGATCCCCCGTATAGCCTTAACAGACTATTGGGGCAAGTGCTGTTAGCGAGCACCTATGAAGGCCGGCACGGCACACGAGGGGGGCAGTACCACGCCCGGCCGCCTTTGTCTCTCTCGTGGCCAAGTTTACACATCGCACCAGGTACTCATTTGAGGCTGAGTCGACCTATGGGAAGGCCCAGGACCGGTTCAGATAATCGTCACTGGTGTTGGCCGTGAGCGGGAAACGAACCCGGGTGACCGGGTTCATATCGCAACATGATATCTACTTCACTACCGCTCCCCACATACACACACATACACACGAAGTACACTGTCTGGGTAAATCCCAGCAGCGGCTACAAATGAGCGTAGGGGCAACTTCCTCCGGAGAGATGACTAGCAGTCCTCAATTCCGTTATTACGTGAGGCCCAATGAGTTGTCCGGTGACTTATTTTAAGTAGAAACTTTTCCACCGCTATTTGGATTCCAAGTCGGCTGCGGAGTGGGCGTGCGTTCCATCTGCTCTGAGAAAGGACAGGTTCTGTATTGGTTGAACGTTAGCCGAGTGGAATGTGTTCAGTGTCCCGAACCAGAGCACTTTGTTTGCGTTCCATCGCCGGGGAAGTTCCGCACCACTGGATCCAGAGCTTATCCCAGACATTCGCGGAGTTTGCCACTGGTGCAATATTTCGTCATAGATGCAATGCTCAGGGATTTATAATATCCATCGGTGTGGTGCGCAACATTAGCACGTGACTCTTTACTAGCACGCTGCGAGTTAAAATCCCCAGATTAGGGATCGACATGGGTGGTGCTGATTTCAGTGTTCAGATGTTTAACCATGGGGAAGAAATTGCACGTTTATTTGTTAGGAATCAGTCTATCCAGAGCGCAAGTATGCCTAACATCCCACAAAATTGTACCAATTTGATCGACTCCCGAAGACTAATGGACTAAGCTGACTCTGACTTCGGTTTGAACTCGCAACTCCGATTGGTAGATCCAGGCCGGTGCTTAACTTAAGACGTCGGCTTTCTTCTCACAGACCCAGGGGATTTAACTTTGAAGCCCATAAATCATCTGCAGTTCCCCACATTCAAACGTATTATCTCAGCGGTATCAGCTTATTGCGCTGGTAAGTACAGTGAGGGAAAACAAGTATTTGATCCCCTGCTGATTTTGTACGTTTGCCCACTGACAAAGAAATGATCAGTCTATAATTTTAATGGTAGGTTTATTTGAACAGTGAGAGACAGAATAACAACAACAAAAATCGAGAAACACGCATGTCAAAAATGTTATAAATTGATTTGCATTTTAATGAGGGAAATAAGTATTTGACCCCTCTGCAAAACATGACTTAGTACTTGGTGGCAAAACCCTTGTTGGCAATCACAGAGGTCAGACGTTTCTTGTCGTTGGCCACCAGGTTTGCACACATCTCAGGAGGGATTTTGTCCCACTCCTCTTTGCAGATCTTCTCCAAGTCATTAAGGTTTCGAGGCTGACGTTTGGCAACTCGAACCTTCAGCTCCCTCCACAGATTTTCTATGGGATTAAGGACTGGAGACTGGCTAGGCCACTCCAGGACCTTGATGTGCTTCTTCTTGAGCCACTCCTTTGTTGCCTTGGCCGTGTGTTTTGGGTCATTGTCATGCTGGAATACCCGTCCACGACCCATTTTCAATGCCCTAGCTGAGGGAAGGCGGTTCTCACCCAAGATTTGACGGTACATGGCCCCGTCCATCGTCCCTTTGATGCAGTGAAGTTGTCCTGTCCCCTTAGCAGAAAAACACCCCCAAAGCATAATGTTTCCACCTCCATGTTTGACGGTGGGGATGGTGTTTTTGGGGTCATAGACAGCATTCCTCCTCCTCCAAACACGGCGAGTTGAGTTGATGCCAAAGAGCTCCATTTTGGTCTCATCTGACCACAACACTTTCACCCAGTTGTCCTCTGAATCATTCAGATGTTCATTGGCAAACTTCAGACGGGCATGTATATGTGCTTTCTTGAGCAGGGGGACCTTGCGGGCGCTGCAGGATTTCAGTCCTTCACGGCGTAGTGTGTTACCAATTGTTTTCTTGGTGACTATGGTCCCAGCTGCCTTGAGATCATTGACAAGATCCTCCCGTGTAGTTCTGGGCTGATTCCTCACCGTTCTCATGATCATTGCAACTCCACGAGGTGAGTTCTTGCATGGAGCCCCAGGCCGGGGGAGATTGACCGTTCTTTTGTGTTTCTTCCTTTTGCGAATAATCGCACCAACTGTTGTCACCTTCTCACCAAGCTGCTTGGCAATGGTCTTGTAGCCCATTCCAGCCTTGTGTAGGTCTACAATCTTGTCCCTGACATCCTTGGAGAGCTCTTTGGTCTTGGCCATGGTGGAGAGTTTGGAATCTGATTGATTGATTGCTTCTGTGGACAGGTGTCTTTTATACAGGTAACAAGCTGAGATTAGGAGCACTCCCTTTAAGAGTAAGCTCCTATTCTCAGCTCATTACCTGTATAAAAGACACCTGGGAGCCAGAAATCTTTCTGATTGAGAGGGGGTCAAATACTTATTTCCCTCATTAAAATGCAAATCAATTTATAACATGTTTGACATGCATTTTTCTGGATTTTGTTGTTGTTATTCTGTCTCTCACTGTTCAAATGAACCTACCATTAAAATTGTAGACTGATCATTTCTTTGTCAGTGGGCAAACGTACAAAATTAGCAGGGGATCAAATACTTTTTTCCCCTCACTGTATTTTTTATGCCGACTCCTTTTGCAATCACTTTATTGCCATCAAAGAACAATTTTGTTATTTTGAAATGGCAACTTTCATTCTATTCGTGCGCACGATGGCAATATGCTCACGAGCTAAATGCCAATGTCGAGGCTCTGCTGGCCAAGTGAGGGCTTTACAAGAAAGTTGGCGTCGTTTTGATATTCCTCCTCCTCTGTTGAAGGAGTGCCAGGATATAGTTGTTCACTAGTAAGTGGAAAATTACTACGCTGCTTGGCAAAAAATTACGTGCATGGCCATATTTAAGACCGAAACATGAGGATTTCTCCACAACTCTGGCTGTTGCCTGATGATGCTAGTTGTAATTACTGGCGAAACGTCGTACTCGAATTGTAAATATTTTGGGTTTACTCTCCAACACACTGGTGTGCTGTACTACTAAGGAATTGGCATGTTTTTTTTTCCGTGACGAACATTACTAATTGTCTGGTTCAACAATATATTTCTATTTACGCGATCTAACCCAAAAACCTCTATGATTGATAACATTGGTCGTGATAGCCTACTACGTGTTGAACTGCCTGGCTAACATTGTGACATTGTGTGAGAGTCGTGGCCAGAGTGAGCGGGTTGAGTTGGTAATTGTCAGAAGATTGATTCCATTTGGCTTTAGGCATCCCCCCCCTACCCCCCACCCACCCCACCCCTGCTGCAAAACGCGTCCCATGAAATGAAAAGTCGGCCGTTGTGTAAATTGCAAAAAGTTTTTTTTTTTATTCGTCGTTGATTCTTTTTTGTTTTCACAACAAGCAGAATGCGTCAATACAAAAACAGTGGTCGAGTGGGTCATCAAAAAGCGTTGCCGTGCCGACGCGGCGCAATCCCGGCACGACGCAACGTCTCGCTGCCCGGCGCGATGGACGAATCCAGTCCGGGTCCTTCCATCGCGGGCGACCGACAGCAAAACACATTTTTTGTTTGTTGTGTAACCGCACACGAAATTCCGACTGCGCAAAAAAAAGCAGCGCCGTTTGAATAAATTAACGTCTTGAAAAATGTAGACAGTTTTGTTATTATTATTTTTTTAAATATTCACGATATCAAGGGTCGAAGTCAATTTTCAGCCATAAGTTAAAATATTATAAATAGTCGTTTTTGTTAAATAATATAGATATGTACGTATTCTACAAACACAGGAACGCAATACCGCTCTTCCTTCTCTCATCTTCGTGCGCTGTAGTGCAAATTTCAGCGGTTTGCTTAAACCACGCGCGAGACGTTTCGATTGTTTCAAGTAAAACTCGACGAGGATTTACGTCGCAAACAAATAAAACACGTGGACACCGGGTCGCCAGCTCGGACCTCTCCTCGCGAGTCCGCAACGAGCGTCGTGGTCATGACGGCAGCGCGCCGGTGGGTAGCACGAATGCATAAATAGATAAATAATCACACGATATTCGATTAATGTTTGATCATGGCTGTGGCGGGAGACGATTGTGTGCGCGAGCGATGCGTGCACGCGATGGATGGATGGCGGGACGGGGTGGCGGGTGGGAACTCAGGTTCACCGCCGTCTTCCCAATGTCTCCGTCTGGGTCCGCTCGGATCCAACATGATCATCATAATCTGCGTCAGAGTGCGAGTGAAATGAACGCTGCCTAGGCGAGGCTCCTGCACCGGTGGGTGCAGGAAAAGTTCACGGTGGTCGTCACCCTATAGCGATACCAGCACCCCTCTCGGCGTAGCAGAGTGGAATTCTTTTCCACTTACTGGCTCAAATTCCCCTTCAAAAAAACTTCTTGTGCCTCTGCGTTAAACACACACACGCGCACACGCGCGGCACAACAATCACGCAGTCACGTGAGCTCGGTTTTTGCTGTTGTTGCAAGTAGCACAGGATATAAAACTGCAGGATGCATTCTATACATTTTAAATAGAATAAAATAACCAAGTCACCATTTCAAGCCACAGCTGGGGTAAGTGTTTGGGGGGGTGGGGGGGGACTACCAACGCAGCCCATTGCCCCTGTGGTATCAACAAATCGAGTGTCACTATGGGGAGTCAACAGCAGCCGTTCTCTGGAGTGGCCCCGGTAAACGCGAACGCGGTTCGCTGCGCTGCCACAGTTCGTGCACAAGGGTCACCCCGCCCTCTGGTGGTGGCCGGCTCGCCGTCTACTCGCGGGGCGCCGCCGCAGCTGACATGTCGACCACGGCGCTGTGCTCGCTAACGAGGCCCGCGTCCACCAGCCTCGCCAGCTCAGCATGGGCGCCCGGCTGCGCCAGCGACTCCTGGACAACCACGAGCACCGCATTGCTGCCGCCGCCGCTGCTGCTGCTGCTGCGCGAGTCCATCGAAAACCAGGAATGTGACGATGACCATGACGATGATGTGGACGAGGACGAGGACGACGACGACGACGACGACGACGCCAGGGTGCGGAGAGCAGCCGTCAGCTGGTCCGCATCTCCCTCCAGCACCATCACTGGGATCTTCTCACCTCCTCCAACGCCTCCTCCACGCGTCGCTTCCGCGGCTGTGGCGCCGAACGCGCCGAGCAGAGCGCGGAGGTCCGGGCCGCCGGCATCCTCGCCGGCTCGGTCGAGGCGGCGCAGGTCGACGCGGACCGCCGCCGTCTCCGCGAAGTGGGAGGCGATGGCCTCGGCGTGGCGGCCGCCCTCGCAGCCGTGCAGCCACAGCACCAGCGGCTCGGCATGCGAGTGCACGGACAGGTAGCGGTGCAGGGCAGACACGGCGGCGCGGGAGGACGCGGCGCTGGCGGCCGACGCGTCGACGTGGTGCAGGGCGCACAGGCGCTTTTCCAGCACGTCCAGGTTGTAGCTGGAGACGTAGTCGTCCAGATTCTCGGCTGCGTTAAACACCTGCGCGGCGGGGAGGGGGGGAGCGACAGAGGGCGAGACACGGGTCAGGTTTTCGCTACGATGCTCGTGTGTTCTCCGCGTGCGTCTGTGCGTGGCTGCGCGCGCTTGCGTTAGGCGTGGGGAAGCGGCGGTGCAGCGGTGAGCACGCTGTGCTAATCGTCACCGGCCAACACCGGTGAGGATTATCCGAACCGGTTATGGGCCTCCCCCCTAGGTCGACTCGGCCTCAAATGAGCACTTTATGCGGTGTGTAAACATCACCACTTGGGAGACAAAGGCGGCCGGGCGCAGTGATAGGACACCCAAATCCTCGTGTGCCGTGCCGGCCTTCATAGGTGCTGGCTAACAGCACTTGCCCCAAAAGTCCGCATGGCTATATGGGGGATGTGAACTATGTGGTGATGTGAACTGTGCCCCCGATTGTGGCTACCTGGGTTCGACTCCTGTGGTTTGTGTACAGAGTGTACGAGTGCCGTGTGTATACGCGTATTAGTTTGTGGGATTTTGTGTGTGTGTGTGTGGGGGGGGGGTCTGTGTGTCTGTCTAAGTATTCGCATGTATAATACATGTTCCTGTGTGTGTGCGCAATAATGTCTATCTACCTGTACGTGCATACACGTGTCTGTGTGTGTGTGTACGTTCCTGGCCGTGCGTCTCTGCCGATACGTGCCTGTGTGTATCTGTGTACATGTACGCACGTGTGTGCGTGCGTGCGTGTGTCAGTGTGTCAGCGTGTCCATGTAGGCAGTGTGGCGCGCGCGCGTGCGAGCAGACACGCACCTGAAAAGCCACGACGACCGCGAAGAAGGCGAGCCAGCCCTTGGCCGGGTTCCGCTCGGACGGCGGGCCCCTGCGCGGGGCCCTTTGGGCCGGGTACTTCACCCGGATCGCCCTCCTGGGGGCCCTTGGCCGAGCGCTCCTCGAGCCGGGAGCCGTGGCCCGGGGTTGGTGCGCTGCCTGGGGCTCGAAGGTGAACACCTGCGTCTCCACGCGGTGGGCGAGGCCGCTGCCGCCGAGGCCGCCGCTGCCGCCACCTCCGAGTCTGCCGATGACGCGGGGGGATGGAGCGGGGCTTGGGCAGGCTCGCAGGCGTGGCCTGAGGCTGGGTCTCATGTAGTAGTTGGCGGCGCGGGACATCTCCACGTCTGCACCGATGCCGTTGCAGCCGCCGCCGCTGCTGCTGCTGTTGAGACGAGATGAGCAGTTCGGGGGGGCTGCATCCATGGGTCCCCGGCTGCACTTGAGACACATTATCATGAGGGCTGCCTGTTTTGGAGTTCCGAGTTTTTTGCGTAAGAGATGCAGTGCCCGACCGACCGACCGACGCTGTAGCTGAGCGGGGTGTCACGGAGCGTGGCTGTTGAGGTTTTGGAGACGGCTACTGCCGTGGAACGTTGCTGCTGTGTCGGTGAGGGCTCCTTTATATAGAGGGGATGGCAGCGGGGCGGGGCGGTGACGCTTGGGGCCCACGCTGTGACGACATCGCGCGACCGGTTTGGCGACTCCTTCCCAACGCTCGATGCACGCGCACGCACGCGCGCGCAAGCACTCAAACACTCACACGCACACAATCGTACACAGAGATCCCCCCCCCCCCGTGTAGCCTGTAACAGACTGTTGGGGCAAGTGCTGTCAGCGAGCACCTGTGAAGAGCCGGGACGGTACACGAGGGGGTGGGTGGCCAGCAACCACGCCCGACCGCCTTTGTCTCCCCAGTGGCGATGTTTACACACACCGCACCAGGTACTCATTTGAGGCTGAGTCGACCTAGGGGAGGCCCAGGTACCGGTTCAGATAATCGTCACTGGTGTTGGCAGTGAACGGGGAATCGAACCCGGGTGGCCAGGTTCATAGCACACACACTAGCGCACACATGCAGATACAAATCCCCCGTGTATCCTTAACAGACTGTTTGGGCAGTCGCCGTTTACAAGTGGATGGGTGGCCATCACCACAGCCGCACACATACACGCTCACGTACACACACCCCACAGTAACACGCACGCACAGGGACAACAAACACCCACACACAAGACAACACAAACACCCACCACCGTATAGCCTTGTAACAGACTTTTAAGTGCTGTTCGCGAGCCGCGCCGATGAAGGCCGGCACGGCACGCGAGTGGTTGGGTGACCAGCTCCATACGCCGGGCCGCCTTTGTCTCCCCATTGGCGATGTTTACACACCGCACCGGTTACTCATTTGAGGCTGAGTCGACCGAGGGGAGGCGAAGGACCGGTTGGGAAACCGCTCGCGAGTGTTGTTAACCGTGGCCGGGAAGTCGAACACAAACAGCCGGTTTGCAGTGCGCTTGGCACCGCGTCAAACCTGAATCACAAACGCAACGATCTCCACCCCCCCCCACCACGACCACCACCACTTTGTTAGTCCGCGGAAAACTCGGCCACCTAAGGGTAGCGAAACATTGAAGGGAGCCGTTGATTTGCGTGGGCAATGCGAGTTGGTGAAGCGTAAATCCGACTCGCTTCGAATGGCCATCGCGTCAATTCGGCCCACGTCAAAAAGGGGGTGGGATGCGGGACGGTGCTTGGAACCGCACGGGTGACACTCGAATCACCGCGTCGCCTGCGCAGACTGTCGGTGGTGGTGGTGGGCGAAGTGCTGCCGTGGTTCGCGAATGTTCCGTCAAATCCTCCGCGGTGCGGCAGGCAAAGCCCTCCCTCTCCCAGACGCCGCTCGTGTTGAAAAGCCGAGTCGTTTACCGACCGCTGGAATGCCCTCGTTTGTTTATATAAAGTCAGTGGTTCTTAACCTTTATCGCAGCCCTGCATCCCCTTTGGGATTTTCAGTCGTTAAGAATGTCACGATTTTACTAAATACGTAGGGGTGTGACGAAACAGAGTTGTTGTACATTATGAGACCTCCTTTGCCAGTAACAAGATGTAGTAATTGTTTTTTACCCTTTTATCTGGCACAAAAAACTGACACCTTTATACAAGGGATCCCTTGTATAAAGGTGTCAGTTTTTGTGAATGCTTACCCCGAGCTCTCAATACTCTGATAGTGCGCTGTCTTTGAGTTGTACGCCTTTTGGCGTCTTCTGGTCCAACACCAGTGGAGACTAGGCTCTAAGAAAAGCCGTCTCGGGTGTGGACCAATAAAATTCAAGGACAGTACATATTATTATCAAAGTTGTGTTTCTTTTTTGTTTGCATTTTGACTGCTTGTGTTGTGGTTATTGCACACATGATCCCTTGTATAAAGGTGTCAGTTTTTGTGCCAGATAAAAGGGTAAAAACCTATTACTAAAGTTGTTGTACATACGTGGCCATGCTTCATTTGTGTTGCGATGATTTTTCCTTCTAAAAAAAAAAGTCTGGCCACGTCTCGCGCCTCCAGAAAGGGCATCTCGCACCCCTTGGGGATGCGTGCACCCCAGGTTAAGAAGAACCACTCTGGTTTAAGTCGTGCGATATTCCGTCTGGACTCTGTACTCGTTCTCTGCGAATGTGGACGTTTTTTCATCTTGTGTTGTTGCTGTTACCGCTGTTCTCACGCAGCAGCACGGATCTCCCGTGTAAAATAACCGGAGAAATCAACTGAACGGCGTTGCGCGCGCAGCAAATTAAAACAAAATGTCAACATTCGAGGTGGTGTAACACTCACGTCGAACACGGATGATCTGAATTACTGTACCACGATCTCCTGGCCACTTTGCAGCCCGGCAAAACAAAATCACGTGTTGCAGAGCACAACGTCCGTGTCATGTCTCTCTCTCTCTACACTCTGCGAAAACGAAATTACATTCTGTAGCAGTGCGGCGTTGTTCATATTCTCGTTCACGTTTCCCACGGGTAACTTCACTCTTCGACCGGTCCGTCTGAGCCGCGGGTGGCGACATGTTAGCTACCTTCACCTGGTATGCAGGAGGACGTTGGGATTCGATCCCAACCTGTGACGTCTGCTGTGAATTTGGAGTTTGCGGTGTCTCTCTCCCCGTGGTCGCTTTGGTGTTCTCTCCGGGTCCTCTGATTTTGTCCTTCCACATTTAGAAGCACGCGGTTCGAGTATTTGACTGCTGTATATTTCCACATGACAAGCCACGTTGTTGAGCTATCGTTCGTGGCCAGGTCGCATCTGAAAAAAGAGCTATATAACTTAATGGGTCTTACCTTATAAAAAAAAACTTTAGTTTAACTTAATGACAATGACACGTAATAATTCTGAAGGGTTCAATTTCGATTTAAAGCTTTCGTGACTGCAAGGATTCATCTTCTTTGGTTCTTTCGGTAAAGTCACGTAGAATGAAAATAAAATAAAATAACACAATAAAATTCTCACGACGTTTCTGCCACAACACAAGTGGCCTTCTTCAGGTGAAAGGAACAGACCTGTCGGGACGACATAGCTTCATTGAAGCTTGTGTTGTGGCAGAAACGTCGTGAGAATTTTATTGTGTTATTTTATTTTATTTATTATTGTATTCTCATTCTACGTGACTTTACCGAAAGAACCAAAGAAGATGAATTCTGAAGGGATTATCGCTCTACACAACCCATCAGCCGCGCGGCTTTCTGCGAGTACTTCACACCATTTCGGTCGCCTTGATTCAGCTGAAGCAGAACTCTGCACCGTTTTCAACATTCAGTGCCTCGTCGGCACAGTCCGACTTGCTGGAATCAATGCTGACGAACTGCTGATCGTACGGGGGAAAGGACTCTCTCTTTACAGCATCGGATCCTGGGGTTGTGTATGGAACATATATTTTGTACTACGTGGAGAGACAAATATGCGAAGGAGACATCGTCTGCTTGTTAATGCCGTGTTTTGATTCAACGTTGAGGAATGAGAACTGAATTATAAAAATGATGAGTGGCGCCTAGCTCTGGCTGCGAGCTATGGCCCACCTCTTGGTGGGCGCGATAATCACATCGTCAGTTGCCTTTGATGGCATCTGAGAGGCAATATACTACAGATAATATTTGGGATACTCGCCCGTATGGGTAACGGCCTATAGGTTGGCTCGGTGATGCTGCGCGATTGGTATCAACATCCGGGCGTCAGGCGCCAAGTCGCAGCGCCGAGTGTTGCGTCGGCACTTTGTGAGTTCCACTCAGCCCATCAACCGTTTCCGGTGGGGGGGGGGGCGATTGACAAAATGAGTACCGAGTTGTGAGAAAGTTACCCTGTGGCTAGCTACCCGCGTGTGAATTTGCACCGCTTGCCTGACGAGGCCGACGCCACAGAGAGATGAGAACGAGCGGCTCTCTCTCTCGTGTGCGTGGAGACGGTAGGGAAAGACGCGACGGTGTCCTCGATAACGCGACGCGTTGGATGGAGAGGGGGGAGCTTTTGAGAGCCCTGTGGGTGCGCCGTGGGTAGAGGCAAGGTGAAGGCACGGGAGGAGAGGGGGAAGGGTAGGGAGAGTGCACCGTGCTGCGTTGTCATCAGCACGACGGGGTTGGGCCAATCCAGATCAAACCGCCCTTAGAACTAAAAGGCATGTTGAACTTCTTTCGCACAGTAACTAAGCACAAAACTGTGCTTAGTGGGAGGTGGGGGGGGGGGAGCACGACACGTTAAGCGACGCTTGGTGTGGAATCGGCGAGGGAAAACAGGAGAGGCCATTGGGAAATTCATTTACAGCCGCTGCTTGTGTGAGAGAGTTTACAGTTCCAAAAGACGTTCGGTCAGAACCAGTTCCTTATGGCCTTGGACAGATAAAGGAAGGGAGACCAGGGAGGGATGGGTGAGCGTGTGTCGGAAGTGGAAGTGATAACACCCCCCCTCTCCTCACCCCCTCCTGCCCCTCCTCCCCATCCCCCCTCCCGCCCCTCCCCACCTCACCCCCTCCCTCCCCCGCCAACCGGGTTGCAGTGATTACGCAAGCGGGTTGAGAATTATTCATGGAAGGGTACAGTTCAGGATATGCGATTCTTCGTTGGTAATCATCACGGAACATTACACGCCACAAATGATGTGGGGAATTTATATTGCGATCTTTCGTATCGTACCATTTGCGTCCGAAGCAAACTTAAATTATAATCAGTTGGTTCTGAGAAGAAAAACAAATGTTATTTGTCTAACAGACAACATTTATATGGAATAAAAGACAAAACATTTCCCAGTGGTATTCCCCGTGGGCCAGATTCCTGGAATATTCAGTGAATTGTACCGGAATCACGTCCCCATGTCGGTGCGGGATGATTTATCGGGAAACCCATAGTGAGAGAACACGTGATGAATTAAGATGACACTGGGTATAGGGGTTGGGTTTTATGGGCCCTATATTGGGACCCTAACTAAAAATATCCAACCTTTGAGCCCGTGCGTCAGACCCATAACATTGTCGTTTTTTTTTGTTAAACTAAATACCGTAACTTTGTGCCTTTTCCATGAAATCCCCATTACGATGTGATTGTTGGAGCCTGCCACCTTTATTGGCCACTTATCACGGGAGTGAATTTCCCAGGGAGAGTGAAAAGCGGCTGCGGGCTCGAGTGTCATGACACAGAACTCAGCCTCCGCTGCTGCATACGTGCCACCAGAACCCAATGGTGGAAAGGAAATTTACCCTCAACGGCTCCGCTTGCTATGTGACTCGC